ATGGGAGAAACTTGTTCTTACCAGATTGTAGAATATTAAATTTCATAATCAGTACCCTAAATAACTTTTATGATTATCTCACAAAATTGACCCCAAAATAGCATTTTTATGTTTGCAGAAAGTCTAATTTTTTGATAGTTTTTTAGGGATTTTGCACCCTGGAGTTTGACACCGTAGGAGGATCATTTCTAAAATACTTTTGATTATCTCAGAAATTGGCCCAAAATTGCAATTTTGTAATTTCGAGTACTAATTTTGCTATTTTATAGTTTTATCCTGAACCACAATCGTAGAGGGAGAAACGTTCTTGCACCAGATTGTAAGTATTAGAATTTCATAATCATTTACCTAAAATAACTTTTGTGATTATCACCTGAGTGTTGACCCCAAAATAGCGTTTTTATGTTTTGAAGGTAATTTTGATGGTTTTAGAGTTTTACTGCACCTGAAGGTTTGACTTTTGTGGGAGGATCATTTCTAATGCTTTTTACGATTATCTCAGAAATTGACCCCCAAAATTTACGAATTTTATATTTCGGAAGTACTAATTTTTTGCTGTTTATAGTTTTATCCTGAACCTGACATCGTAGGGAAACATTCTTGCACCAGATTATGAAGTATTAAATTTCATTATCATTTTTTCCTAAATAACTTTGATTATCTCTCCAATTGACCCCAAAAGAAATTTTGCATTTTATGTTCGATGGACTAATTTTGCTGGTTTTAGAGATTGAACACCTGAGTCTGACAACGTAGAAGAACCGTTTTTTGCACACCATATTGCTTAAGTATTAGATTTCTTTATCATTTCCTAAGCGCTTTTGTGATTATCTATAAATTATTTAAAATTGCATTTTCTGTTCAGAGAGGACTAATTTTTGATGGTTTTAGGGTTTTGCATATGAGTCAGAAAATCGTAGAGGACCATTCTTACCTCAGAGATGTAAGTATTAAAATTCTTTATCCCATTTTCCTAATTAACTTTTGTGATTATCTCACAAATTGACCCCAAAATAGCATTTTTTATGTTTGAGGGACTAATTTTTATGGTTTCAGGAGTTTTTGCACCTGAGTTTGACATCGTGGGAGGATCATTATTTCATCAGATTGTAAGAGTATTTAATTTCTTTTATCATTTTTCCTAAATAACTTTTGCGATTATCACAATTGACCCCAAGGTACGATTTTATGTTCGAAGGACTAATTTTTGCTGGTTTTAGGAAGTTTGCACCTGAGTCAGACATTGTAGGGGACTATTCTTGCATGAGAATGTAAGTACTAAAATTTTTATCATCCTCATTGGCACTTTCCCTGATTGTCTAACAAATTGACCCCAAAATTTGCATTTTTATGTTTGAAGGACTAATTTTTACTTTGTGGTTTTAGGAGTTTTTGCACCTGGGGCTGACATTGTAGAAGAACCATTCTTACACCAGATGGTAAGTATTAAATTTCTTTATCATTTTCCTAATTAACTATTGTGATTGTCATAAAATTGACCTTTAAAATTGCATTTTATATTTGAAGGGACTAATTTTCTAAGCATTTTGGGGATTTTGCACCTGGAGTCTGACATCAGTAAAAGGCCATTATGGTATCAGATTGCTTAGTGGTATTCCTTTGTCATTTTAAATAACTTTTTGATTATCATTTTCAGGGGTGACGCTAAAATTGCATTTTATGTTCGAAGGGACTAATTTTTGCTGATTTTAGGAGTTTTGCACCTGGAGTCTGACATCGTAGAAGGACCGGTATGGTATCAGATTGTAAGTAAATAATTCCTTTATCATTTTCTTAAATACTTTTATGATTATCGTACAAATTGACCCCCAGGAATTGCATTTTATGATTTCGAAGGACTAATTTTGCTTTTTAGAGGTTTTCACCTGAGTCTGACTTGGTGAAGGACCATTCTCACATCAAATTGTAGAAGTAATAATTTTGCTATCATTCTCTCTTCAAATTTACTTTATGATTATTTCACAAATTGATCCCAAAGGTACATTTTATGTTCAGAAGGGACTAATTTTTGCTTGTTTTAGGGATTTTTTTCACCTGGAGTCGGACTTGTTAGGACATTCTCGCATCAAATTGTGAAGTAATAAATTTTGCTTTATCATTCTCTAATAATTTTACTTGCTTGGGTATTTCACCAAATTGATCCCAAAATTTACATTTTTATGTTCGAAGGACTAATTTTTGCTTGTTTTAGGGATTTTCACCTGAGTCTGACTTGGTAGGGGATAATTCTCGCATCAAATTGTAAGTAATAAATTTCTTCTTTATCATTCTCTTAATTTACTTTTTATAGTTATTTTACAAATTGATCCCCAAAATTGCATTTTTATGTTCAGAGGACTAATTTTGCTTGTTTTAGGGATTTTCACCTGAGTCGGACTTGGTAGAAGGACCATTCTCGCACATCAAATTATGAAAGTAATAAATTTCTTTTATCATTCTCTCCTAATTTACTTTTATGATTATTTCTGGAATTGGTCCCAAAATTTTGCATTTTTATGTTGGGAAGGACTAATTTTTGCTTGTTTTTGGGGATTTTGCACCTGAGTCTGACATCGTAGAAGGACCATTCTTGCGTAGATTATTTATTATTAAATTTCATTATCTTTAATAACTTTTGTGATTATTACACAAATTGACTCCCCAAAATGTATGCTTGTGTGTTTTCTTTAATAAAGAATATTTTTAAAGTTTTTTCTAATTATAATTATTTCTCTTATTTCTACCGATCATATTTAACGATTCCTTAAACCATTTATTTTTGAAAAGTGCATTGCTAGTGCATCTATCAGTTAGAAACTACAACAGCAAGAAGTTTTGAGCTTCGGTCCGTCGCCACCAGAGGCAACACATTGCAGTTGCCGCGAAAACTTTATCCAGCCTCCTCAGCTTTCGCGGTCCTAATATTCCGAAATCTTTATTTTGTCGACTCACGAGGCAATGGCGCAGAGACTGGACTCGAAACAGTCGAAAGGAAACTCGACTTTAGGTATTCGGATCGCAGAAGTGAGAGAGGCTAATAAAGTTCGCTTGATAACTAGTAGAAACGAAAAATTAATGTTTAAAAATCTTCTTAAGCAGCAAGTGCAGCTTCTGTATATTCAGATTTACGCAAATTTTGTGTTCGGATTCTGTGCCAATAATTCTATATCGACTTTTATGTAGGTACTTTCTTAAACATTGATCAGGTTTAGGCTCCTATTTGCATATTTTTTTAATAAATTTGTTTTTACATGCCAATAGGGCCTTAATCCATAAGTGTGTTACTGGTTTCCGATTCAGAATTTAATCTACTTTCGATCCGAAAACAGAATTTAAAAATTTTAGTAATACAAGAACCTGCATTTGCTGAAATTCGTCATAAAAGGCAAAAACATTTTTCTTTTTTATGTCGAAGATATTTATTTTCATTAAAATTGCAAATTGGGCATAAATGGATTTGAGTACTAATAAAAAATATTTCTAAAATAGCAAATTGTAAAATTATATTATCAATCATAATCCGAAAACAGAATTTAAAATTCCCACTTTTAATTTTCAGCATAAAAAGAAATCTTTTGCCTTTTATAACAGGCTCTTTTCTTTCAAATTTTTCGTGCCATTTTTGTGGTTTTTCAATACGTGGCCATCTTGTCAAATTCTTCAAGGATCAAGGTATGTGGTTCTTTTCTAGCCTAGTTGTAGAATAAATTTACCATTTTAATCTTTATAAATTAGACTATTCCGACGGGATACGTGTTTTATTCTAATTACCAAAATGGGGCCTAAACGGTTAATGCTAGCAGCAAATTTACTAAAATAATCGATGTAGAATTAAACTATCTATCAGTAGCCGAAAGCAAATTTCTAAATTCCAACTTTAATTTTCAACATAAAAAGAGAGGAAATCTTTGGCCTTTTATGGTAATTATTCGTGACAACTAAAGGGGTTAGAATAAAAATAACTACATATTTCTTGATCCTTGAAGAATTCTGGGCAGGCATATTTATCTCAAAACGAAGAAAATGGGCACAAAAAATTTTTATGAAAAGTTTTTCAGTATAAAAGGCAAAGATTTCTCTTTTTATGTTGGAATTAAATATTATTGGAATTTTAGAATTCTGATTTCGGATTCTCATAAACAATTTAATTCTATATCAATTATTCTAGTAAGTTTTTTTGCTAACGTTAACCGTTTTAGGCCCTATTAGCAATTTAGATAGCGACATGTGCATGCCGTCGGAATAGTTAAATTTAAAAAGATTAAATGGGCCATTATCTCGACAACTAAAGGGCTGAAAAGAACTGCATATTCAGCGTGTGAAAAGAAATTCACCACAAGATGGCATCCTAAATTTAGTAGAGAAATGGCACAGAATTTTTAAAGAAAGATTTTACCGTCATAAAAAAAGGCAAAGATTTCTCTTTTTACATGTTGAAAATTAAATATTGGAATTTTAGAATTTCTGATTTTAGTTCTGAAATAGACAATTTAATTCTATATCATTGCATTCACAATACCAAAATATTTTTGCTAGCATTAACGGTTTAGGCCCTATTTGCAATTTTATTGAAAAAATTGAATATGTACCGAAACAAATTAAAATAATACATATAATAATTTGGCGGGAACTGTCTGTCCACTTTCTGCGTTCCTAATACTACAGACTGATGAACAGCAACATTTCAGCAAATTTCTCGACAAATTTTGTCGAGAAATCCATTGAAATCGGTGACAAAATTCTTTTGAATATTAGGATCGCAGAAAGTTGAGGAGGCTGAATCTCCAGCAATCTTGAATAGCGGCGTAGTTTAGTTACTCGTGGATAGATGACACTAGTGATACCATTTTTAAATTAATATTGATACAAATTGACTTTGAATTATTTCCCATACTTAATAGTGGCATTACCATTTAAGTTTAAGGAATTTATGGATTAATTAAAGGAGTAACGATGTTGCGAGCTATGTTCTCGGTTTGGGACAAATAAAATAATAAAAATTTATAGTTAAAAATATAAAACAACAATTTTATTCAAACGTGTAGAATCACAAACTCAATTTCTCAATATATACAGCATTTTTAAAAATACATGCATAAAAACAGGATAATATTACACAATTATATAATGCTCTTTTTATAACTATTAACAAAATAAACAAAAATGAAATCAATAACAGCTTCGAATTGTTGTAAATTCATTCAATCGTATTTGGAATCATCATCAACACCGGCAATCCAATCTTCAATTTCTCGGACTCTATAAATCAGAATGAATAACAAAACAGTAACATATAAAATATTATAAATTGCAAAAATATAACATACGTTCTGGGTATTTTAGTCTAGTTGACACATCCATCTTCAGTAATCAAAACTTCATCCTCAAAACGCACTCTACCTGTACCACGGAACCTCTCCAGTTGGTCCCTGTTGATAAACTAGGCCATCTCAGGATTGCCAATGCTTCATCCAACAACTGGAAAATATTTATGTAAATGAAATATAGATATACATAAATTAAATTAATTATTCTTACAGGATCCATAAAGACTCCCATTTAGAGCAACGTACGAAGATAGCGGTAGAAGTGACTCCCATTCAAAGCACCGTAGAAGGCTAGCGTTAACGTTTATGTAAATGTTAATGCAGAACTCATCGGACTCCATGGTACAGCGAATACTGTAAAAAAAACGTAAGTTAAAATAACTTGCATAAGTATGTATAAATATAATATATAAGTATTAGTATATATAAATCTCGCAATAAATTTCAATACAGAGAGATACAGAATTAAATTCTCATCTGGGAAAATTAGTCCAAACTTATTGTGACACCGCGCTCGCGAGTTATATCAGTAAAACTACAATTCCAAGCGCAACGAGTGCCAGTGCGTATACACACAACTTTCATTATAACTCGCGTTACGGAGTTTTCTTGCAATAAATTTCATTACAGGGAGATACAAAATTAAATTCTGCATCTGGGGAAATTATTCCAAACTTATTGTGACACCGCGCTCGCGAGTAATATCGGTAAAACTGCAATTCCAAGCGCAACGAGTACCAGTGCGTATACACACAACTTTCAATACAACTCGCAATACGGAATTTTCTCGAAATAAATTTCAATACAGTGTGATTCAGAATTAAATTCCGCATCAGGAAAAATTATTCCAAACTTATTCCAGCACCGCGTTCCCGTGTTAAAAAAGTGCTAAAACTTGACACTTTTCAATTTTTGCCTATTTTATTCAATCGCAAATATCTCGTAAACTAAAAGAAATAAATAAGATCTGATCGCAGCTTCTTAATCTACGGACTATTCTCTATCAGATAGGATAGTTAAAAGGCAAATCTGGGAGATGAAATTTTCATTCTTAAGAAAAAATTGCCAAGGGGGGGTGCTTGATACTTTTTTTCGACGATTTTTGAAAATTCATATCTCTTAAACTAAAAGCCACAGCAACCAACAAATTGCTGATTATGATAGATTGGAAAATTCTGTATCAGATAAAAATATAAAATAATTATATTTCCTAAAGTAAAAGGTCGAAAAACGCGAGTAAAAGTGCTAAAAAGTGACATTTTTCAATTTTTGCCCATTTTATTCAAACGCGAATATCTCGTAAACTAAAAGAGATAATTAAGATCTGATCGCAGCGTCTTAATGTACGGACCAATCTCTATCAGATAGGATAGTTAAAACGGAAATCTGGGAGATGAAATTTTCATTCTTAAGAAAAAATTGCCAAGGGGGGGTGCTTGATACTTTTTTTCGACGATTTTTGAAAATTCATATCTCTTAAACTAAAAGCCACAGCAACCAACAAATTGCTGATTATGATAGATTGGAAAATTCTGTATCAGATAAAAATATAAAATAATTATATTTCCTACAGTAAAAGGTCGAAAAACGCGACTAAAAGTGCTAAAAAGTGACATTTTTCAATTTTTGCCCATTTTATTCAAACGCGAATATCTCGTAAACTAAAAGAGATAATTAAGATCTGATCGCAGCGTCTTAATCTACGGACCAATCTCTATCAGATACAATAGTTAAAACGGAAATCTGGGAGATGAAATTTTCATTCTTAAGAAAAAATTGCCAAGGGGGGGTGCTTGATACTTTTTTTCGACGATTTTTGAAAATTCATATCTCTTAAACTAAAAGCCACAGCAACCAACAAATTGCTGATTATGATAGATTGGAAAATTCTGTATCAGATAAAAATATAAAATAATTATATTTCCTACAGTAAAAGGTCGAAAAACGCGAGTAAAAGTGCTAAAAAGTGACATTTTTCAATTTTTGCCCATTTTATTCAAACGCGAATATCTCGTAAACTAAAAGAGATAATTAAGATCTGATCGCAGCGTCTTAATGTACGGACCAATCTCTATCAGATAGGATAGTTAAAACGGAAATCTGGGAGATGAAATTTTCATTCTTAAGAAAAAATTGCCAAGGGGGGGTGCTTGATACTTTTTTTCGACGATTTTTGAAAATTCATATCTCTTAAACTAAAAGCCACAGCAACCAACAAATTGCTGATTATGATAGATTGGAAAATTCTGTATCAGATAAAAATATAAAATAATTATATTTCCTACAGTAAAAGGTCGAAAAACGCGAGTAAAAGTGCTAAAATGTGACATTTTTCAATTTTTGCCCATTTTATTCAAACGCGAATATCTCGTAAACTAAAAGAGATAATTAAGATCTGATCGCAGCGTCTTAATGTACGGACCAATCTCTATCAGATACAATAGTTAAAAGGGAAATCTGAGAGATGAAATTTTCATTCTTAAGAAAAATTGCCAAGGGGGGGTGCTTGATACTTTTTTTCGACGATTTTTGAAAATTCATATCTCTTAAACTAAAAGCCACAGCAACCAACAAATTGCTGATTATGATAGATTGGAAAATTCTGTATCAGATAAAAATATAAAATAATTATATTTCCTACAGTAAAAGGTCGAAAAACGCGACTAAAAGTGCTAAAAAGTGACATTTTTCAATTTTTGCCCATTTTATTCAAACGCGAATATCTCGTAAACTAAAAGAGATAATTAAGATCTGATCGCAGCGTCTTAATGTACGGACCAATCTCTATCAGATACAATAGTTAAAAGGCAAATCTGGGAGATGAAATTTTCATTCTTAAGAAAAAATTGCCAAGGGGGGGTGCTTGATACTTTTTTTCGACGATTTTCAATAATTAATATCTCTTAAACTAAAAGCCACAGCAACCAACAAATTGCTGATTATGATAGATTGGAAAATTCTGTATCAGATAAAAATATAAAATAATTATATTTCCTATAGTAAAAGGTCGAAAAACGCGAGTAAAAGTGCTAAAAAGTGACATTTTTCAATTTTTGCCCATTTTATTCAAACGCGAATATCTCGTAAACTAAAAGAGATAATTAAGATCTGATCGCAGCGTCTTAATGTACGGACCAATCTCTATCAGATAGGATAGTTAAAAGGCAAATCTGGGAGATGAAATTTTCATTCTTAAGAAAAAATTGCCAAGGGGGGGTGCTTGATACTTTTTTTCGACGATTTTTGAAAATTCATATCTCTTAAACTAAAAGCCACAGCAACCAACAAATTGCTGATTATGATAGATTGGAAAATTCTGTATCAGATAAAAATATAAAATAATTATATTTCCTACAGTAAAAGGTCGAAAAACGCGAGTAAAAGTGCTAAAAAGTGACATTTTTCAATTTTTGCCCATTTTATTCAAACGCGAATATCTCGTAAACTAAAAGAGATAATTAAGATCTGATCGCAGCGTCTTAATGTACGGACCAATCTCTATCAGATACAATAGTTAAAAGGCAAATCTGGGAGATGAAATTTTCATTCTTAAGAAAAAATTGCCAAGGGGGGGTGCTTGATACTTTTTTTCGACGATTTTTGAAAATTCATATCTCTTAAACTAAAAGCCACAGCAACCAACAAATTGCTGATTATGATAGATTGGGAAATTCTCTATCAGAAAAAAATATAAAATAATTATATTTCCTACAGTAAAAGGTCGAAAAACGCGACTAAAAGTGCTAAAAAGTGACATTTTTCAATTTTTGCCCATTTTATTCAAACGCGAATATCTCGTAAACTAAAAGAGATAATTAAGATCTGATCGCAGCGTCTTAATGTACGGACCAATCTCTATCAGATACAATAGTTAAAAGGCAAATCTGGGAGATGAAATTTTCATTCTTAAGAAAAAATTGCCAAGGGGGGGTGCTTGATACTTTTTTTCGACGATTTTTGAAAATTCATATCTCTTAAACTAAAAGAGATAGCTACCAACGAATTGTTGATTATGATAGATTGGAACATTTTCTATCAGATAAAAATATAAAATAATTATATTTGCTACAGTAACAGGTCGAAAAACGCGAGTAAAAGTGCTAAAATGTGACATTTTTCAATTTTTGCCCATTTTATTCAAACGCGAATATCTCGTAAACTAAAAGAGATAATTAAGATCTGATCGCAGCGTCTTAATGTACGGACCAATCTCTATCAGATACAATAGTTAAAAGGCAAATCTGGGAGATGAAATTTTCATTCTTAAGAAAAAATTGCCAAGGGGGGGTGCTTGATACTTTTTTTCGACGATTTTCAATAATTAATATCTCTTAAACTAAAAGCGATATCAACCAACAAATTGCAGATTATGAAAGATTGAAAAATTCTTTATCAGATAAAAGTATAAAATAATTATATTTCCTAAAGTAAAAGGTCGAAAAACGCGAGTAAAAGTGCTAAAAAGTGACATTTTTCAATTTTTGCCCATTTTATTCAAACGCGAATATCTCGTAAACTAAAAGAGATAATTAAGATCTGATCGCAGCGTTTTAATGTACGGACCAATCTCTATCAGATACAATAGATAAAAGGCAAATCTGGGAGATGACATTTTCATTCTTAAGAAAAAATTGCCAAGGGGGGGTGCTTGATACTTTTTTTCGACGATTTTAGATAGTGAAAACAATGGTTTCTCGCAATATGATCCGGTATCCATATTACCAGTAAGTGAAATATACACGCCTCCTCCTAATGCGCGGGCTATTGCAACATGCAGGTGAAAGGATTTAAATCATTTAATCGAATAATGTAATTTAATTATAAACTTACTAATGCAGCGCTCATCGGATTGCGATGGTACGACAAGTTCTGTAATTAAAAGAAAACAACGTCGTGAAATCCTTTTATTTTACGATAATTATGGAGTTTCACCATGTATGTGCCTAAACAATTCAATACATAAGTTAAAACAAAAACAAACTTTCTGTGCTGAGTATCGCAATGGTCAGATAAAAGTTACTTGCTTGAGTATATGTTTCCAGTTGTTCTAGCCCGGTAATTACAACTGAGTTGTAACCAAATATAATGCAAATTTTGAAAATATAAGTTCGATAAAACGATACGCGATGCGCGATGCGCGAAATACATCTGGATACGCCAGAGACCGGCATGGATTACAGGCTGTAATCCATCGATAGCGTTTACCGAAACTGCACATGCAACGATGGGACAGTTCGCGAATACCTGTAGCGCGAACCACGCAGGTAAAAGCAATAGATGCGCAAAGCCGGCGCGTCGATGCCCCACGACCTTGTGTACGGATTGCAATAGGCTCGACACTTGTGATCTAAACTAAACTCGAATATGCGTCATGCGGCGTGCGAATGCTACGACTTGGCAATCTCATGAGTTGCATTCCGCGCGGCGAATGCGATAAGAAGGCGTAAATTGTGTTCAAAACAAACACAATTCTCGTGCCGAATGCCCACGTTTGCTGATAAATATAGAAATAAACAATACAATTCTATTCAATGATTTTTAGTTCATGCTAGTGCCATCTCTGAATGAAATAGATAGTAGTCCCATTATATTAATTCCTGAATTTAGATTACTAAAATTAATAAAAAAAATTAAAATCCGAATTATGTTTGGTTCAATTGTGAGGAAACTATAATTATAGAAATGATAATATTTACCATATTCTGCGATTGAGGAAAAATATTCGCTACCGCAAGAATTTATTAGTGATGTTCATAACGCACTCACTTTTTTGAATAGGTACACTAAATTCGGAAAATTTAGATTTACGACGATTATACACGGGATAAATTACTATTAAAATACCGAACACGGCTAAAACCACTAATTATCACTGGTTATCAACCAAATATAAAGCGATAAAGGACAATAAACGCACAAGCAATAACAAACATTACTATAGTCGCAAGTTAAAAATAAATAGTCGACTGCTGACCGAATATAATGCAAATTTAGAATGCAGAAGATCGAACAAACAATAAGAGCCGCGAGAAATACGTCTGAATTAATCAGAGACCGACGCGAAACTGGCCCCAAATCGCGGCTAGTGCAAGCCGTAGCCGAGCAGGCAATGACGCGATTGTTACTGATAAGAAAGCAAGAGGTGCGCAAAGTCGGCGCGTCGATGACACACGACTTTGTACGCGAATTGCATTTGCGATCAAAACTAAACTAAGATGCGGCAAAGTGCGACGTGAGAAGAAGGTAACGACGAAACACGGGAATGCGATAAGAATGTGTAAACCGTGTTCAAAACAAACACAATTCTCTTGCCGAATGCCCACGTTTGCCAATAAATATATAAATAAACAATACAATTCTATTTATATGATTTTTAGTTCATGCTAGTGCCATCTCTGAATGATACAGTTAGAGTCCCGGAATTTATATAATAAATATCTATGAAAGATAGCGCGATTTTACATTAACTAGAATTACCTAGCTTTTACATTAAACAGAAAAACATTTTTAAAATCGGTCCAATTCGGGATTAGCGGAAACAGTTATCAAAATAAAAAATTGTGTTGCTATGAATATATGTTTGACGTAGGAATCTTATAAATTATTATTGATATTGCAATTTTTTTTATGAGTTATGTTTCATGAGTTTTTTTACCGTCGATGTTTTGTTATATAAAATATTCGGGTAATACTTACTATTCACACCTACATGCCACAGTAGGTGTTTATTTACGAGTACATAATAATGTTTTAGCCTTCCTGGTCAACAGTTTACATACAGTAAAAAGAGATCTTTCAAGTGAGAGCGATCCCCGAAGAGGAAAACCAAAACAAAGTACTAGCAATGCACGTCCGGGCAAGTTTGTCAGCTGTAGTGAAGCAAACCCTGAACCAGAGCCATTCAGCTTGACGAATCAATTGGTATACAAAATGTCAATGGCACTGGTAAAACAGACAAACATTGCAAACGAGCAAATCGAACAAGTTCCAAAACAAACTGTAGTCAATCGTCCGGATTCCAATAATCGCATGTCTGTAGTCAATATCCCTTTGAAGCGTGAAAAAAAGACAACACTTACGATTAGCTCACCGAATTATGCCAAATCACGCATTAGTTTCACCCGACTGCAAAGCATCAAATCGAAAACGGCATATAAACCACTTGAAAATAGAAACGATACAGTTATGATAAACTCTGATTGTTATGTGCAAATCCTTATTGACTACGTACATGTATTGCTAGACATTGATAAACATGGTAATGATTTGTTTAATCAAATAATTTACTGTATGATGCTTAAACTATTGTAGTGAATGTGGATCTTTGTGACGAGAGTGGCACAATGCTAAGATTACAGGAACTGAAACCTCATGAAAGCGCAATGTCCCGATTGGAGGCTAGGAAAACTTATAATTTAATGTCTATTGAATGTAAGTTTTACCATTTGTTTCAACTATACTGCACTCCTGCGTAAATAATTTACTCAAGCGCACATTCCGCTCATCCCCCATTATTAGCGGGTTTATCGCGGTTATGAAAGAACGGCGCGCAGCGATTCATCACTTAAAGGCAGTTTTGCTCAGGAGTTGTTAATTTCTTCATGCTTTCTGGTGTTTTCTTATTTTCTAACATATTAACAATAAATATATTTCAGGGATCCTGTAAAATTACAGTACATCGCCGTAACTCCACTAATATCTCCAATTACACCCAAAGATACTGATTTAATACAGAAATTAAGTCGATATCCATCAGTGGTAAGTGTAATTTTTTAACAGTACTTAAAGTTACATAAATCCTGTTTTTTAGAATATTAGTGATACTCCTACAACGGCAAAATTGAAAATGAAGAAAAAATTTTCGTTAAATGTCTAGTTCAAATTGTGAAATACTTTAATAATAATCGTATCTTTCTCTTTTGCATCCGTCATTTATTTTCATCAACTATATACAGAGTATAGCAAACTGTAAATAAATTATTGCAGCATTGCGATAGTAAAAATAATTATATAAAATGCAGTATTATACAAAAATATGGATCATTCCTATCTTAATGTAGTAATACTTTGGTGGGTGGAAAGCAATATATCACAGGGAAGTGTAATTAGATAATGTATTTGTTGGTAAGAAGCAACGAGCTAACGGTGGCCACGAGTGATACGACTAAACTAGCACAATGTGATACGGCACTAGCTTTCTCGTATTCATTCTGAACCAGGTAGTAATGTTTCTGGTCATCGAAAACCATTCGAATAAGTCTACCGTATAAGGGCTGCGTTGGGCGGAAATTGTGAGACATTAAATTACCATGTTCATCTTTTAAATGTCTGAATGCTTCAATCTGTAAATGTAGTTTACAATTTATAGCAATATTAATCAAGTGTTAATTTTAATTTTATTAATACCTGCGAGTGTGCCATTGGGACGGTATTTTTGAATTCAATCCACGTGACTACTTCGGAACATGGCGGTGTTGTTAGTGAACCGCCATACGTGTAATAAACACTTCGATTCTTCATCGTGAGCGCGTCCAAAGTCGGCATAGTTTTAAGCGGTCGTGTTAAATTTACGAACTCCAAATGTGGCAGTACTTCCTCAAGCGGTTCGTAGTGCTTATTTGGTTTATCAGAATTCTAGAAATTGCATACGACGTGTTTAATAGTTAATTAATTATGGTTTTTATCCCAAAAACACTTACAGAAAATAGAAACGCAAGAACAGTCAAGCCGTCTGGATGTTCTACAGCATTATCAAAGCTTCCATAGGCTTTCTGATAAAACACCATGTGAAGTTCCATTGGAAAGCTAAAGAAATTCAGATTAATTTATTGTGCACGGCTGATGTCTCTACCAAAAACATGCAAATTTCTTTTCGTTGGATTTAACTATTCTATATCTATAAGAAAGTTGTTTCACGCGTTTGTACAATACACGTTGAGATAGTTCCAAAACAACTCACCTGCTATTGTTAATTGTATTCTCGGAGCCTTCCGAATCGTGAGAACCCCAATGAAAGTGTAACTGTGCAAATTCGTATTTGCCGATTAGCGGGCCGCCCGAAATCATCGGCATCTTATTCGGATGTTTCATTTTCATCGTCAAAGTAACTGCCGTGAAAAAACAACAATTAACAATATGGCTGCATGAAATTATTAAAGCAAATTTATTTTCATATTGCGGTTAATTTGCGGTCGTCATGGACAATTTATAATTTCTATAAACTGTTATTATGCTTGATTAATCTCTCGAGACGAATAACGTATGAGCAATCTTCACGTGTCTCGTGTATAATTGCCATGTTATTTAAACATTTAGACGGTAGACTTATTGAGACTTATTAGTGTAGTCCCGATCACATTTGCATACTACGACAGCAGTATTCACAAATATAAAAAAAAATGCCATCAATCGTTAACTATAATCTCCGAAATTAACCGCAAGCGAGTTTTTTATGCGCTGGACATCACATGGCGTTTCGTAAAGTGGCAAATAAACTCAAGTACCTCACGTGCTCATTTATGATGATGATTTTTGCTTGACATTAATTCGCGCATTCTTAGCACACAGATGTTTTATGCGGTATTTATTTTAATTACTTTGCAGACGCCGTGAATGTATGGATTATTGAAATCTACGTACATTGATCTATGACTCGAGAGACTTAGGATTAATTACATGCGTCATACAACACAATTGTATAAATTAATTAATTCCTACCAGTGTGTCCGTTATTTTTCATTTCGGCATATTCGGGTTTTTCACCAAAGTGCTCGAATCGCATTGGGTACAACCATATTGTCTCCACGTTGTGATCTTCGATATTTATTGGACTTTGATGTTTACCAATGCATTGTCTATATTTTTCACCCCAATGTGTTGGACCTGAAACATATTATCACATAATTAATGCTATGATGTTCAAAACAGGAAATCAACACCATGTAGCTAATAATTATTATGAAAAAAGTTTGTATCGCGGAAATTGGCGCAATTAAATACCTATGACCATGATATCCATTGGGTTTTTATTATGTAGCCGTTTACATATAATTCAAACATAAACATGTAAATATTGATATTTCGACTCTTAACGAGTTAATCTTTTATTTTATTGCGTCATAAAATTGACGTGTTTCTTTGCTTCAGAATATTCATTACCCAAATAAGTTTGGCTTTGTGATTTAGCAAAACACCTTCAAATGCAAAGAAAGTGTGAAATATTTGCACATCACAACACATTAAGCAATCCAATAAATGTTAAAAATAATTGTCGAAGGCATAATAAACCAACACGCCGCACATTCATTCTCAAAACTATAAAACTGTGTTAGATATGCAGCTACATACAACACATGCAACCGAATAAATTTTACTGTATACGTGCATCTAATCTGCCGTTTAATGATAGCAAGACGTAAACAACACCGAGAATTGTACACATTTTAGGCTGTACAAATATATTCATATATTCTAAGATTTATGTAAAGTTCTTATTAATTTGTGTAATTCCTGCATTTGTTTTTGATGCACTTGTGGAATTAAGATAAAATCCGTAGATAAATCGTGTTGTCGCGAAATCGTGACTTCTAGAAACATGACAGTACATTAAGACCAGAAAATTAAAAATGTGTTAACATTATAATAGTTACGGTGTAAATTCGCACCTTCGTGTGGCTAGACACGCAAATCAACAGTGAAAATATGAAAGTTTCCTTCACTTCCATTTTTAAACAAAAATTACCTTTAAATATTTAATTGCAAGCGAAATTTGCGATGATTTTTACTTTTCGCATGTTAAACATTAAAAGTCTTCACTCATCACCATTCTTTTCGTTATATAAGCTTCAAACAAACAATTAATCACCTTTTTTCAAATTGCGATGATTGATGGGAAACTAACAAAGCCATGAGAAGAAATAAAGTATTTAATTTGAAAGATCATGTGCGGGGACTTCCACAAATACATCAATTGACGTTGCGTGCGTTGAACAGCATGTCAGTTGAAAAGAACCCGACGCCTCAGTGCTTCTAATATGCGATAATTTCATTACCGAACAAAGGAAACGTTTAGACGACGTTAAAAAAGTATTAAGGATAAGTAAAATTATGTTTATTATATAAGCATTTAATTGCACGTCTATGCGTTAAGAAATAAATGAAAAGTTTAAAATATATAGGTACTTTTTCAAATGTGATTGACCGTCTCGAAATGTGGTTCATATTGTTTGGACAATTATTCAATGACACAGGCTGTGTCAATAGATCTCATTTTATGTGGAAAAAACGCCTGCATTTGTCAATATTTGCCGTCAATTATGCCTAGCTCCTGCTTGGTTAACTTATTGTAGAAATGTGTTATTTGCAAGCGACTTGTCAATTATATTAAAACGAAATTATGTAATTAATAAAGCAAACAAAAGAAGTGTGAACCACTTCAGTACACTTAGATGCATAGGAAACTTTTGAAATTAGGTCATCAGACTTCTATCTAAAAAAAGTTCGCGGACATTCAATATGTTTCATAAAAGTAACTTTCAAATATAAATATAAAGAATATTATTCTATACAAAGCGTGCAAAAACATATAATTGATTAAATTGTATACTAAAACGTACAGAAATTACGATGAATCGACGTGTTACCTTGCTAATAACTAATAAAAGCATACATCAATAAGTTTCCATGATGCCAGAACGAGAACGTCACAATGTGTACAATAAAATATGACCAGACACATAAAATATGTAATTCGCACATACCTTCAGAGCCATCGTAACCAAAGTCCTGGCCACAAACTAGAACAGAAGAGTAAAAGTTAGATGAGTACTCAATATCTACACCTGGAAATAAAAGTACAGTTGCCATCGTTGCTAAAATCTTACGTGGAATGTGGAAAATTTCTAATAGCACTCGCTTTTTTAACGATCTTTTATGTTCCGCGTGTGAAAGGTGTCCGCTAACAATCCGCGCATATTCCGCAAATTTCGCACGATCGCATTCATCACGAGGCTTATAATTTACATCTAATGCTACGCAGTTGGTATGTAATCGTCACGATGCAGTTTGCGGCTTCATCTTGACAGAATTACGTTATTTAACTAGGACTTTAATTACTTCAATTACATCAATATATAATTAAACATGGTGTTGCATTGACACTAGTTCTAATTATAGTTAATTAGAGCGCATTGTTAAAGAAATAATTCTAATCAGTTTGTGGATCATTTAAATAAAATGTTCGACATTCATTGACCTGCTTATTGGTCATAGTTTTTTTTTTCATGAATTTAGCTGCTCGTCACGTTTGCAAGCATCAATTAATCGCAGCTTATCTGGAACAATAAATTGTTCTCACACAACTTTAGTATAAACCAACTGTCACTAACAATAACTTTCATAATTTATTGATTAAAATAGTCAGTGTATAATTGATTTGTTTTAATTAAAAAGACGATAAAACATTTGTATACTATGTTTATATTTACTTTTTTATATTTATTTATCATTAAGTTGATAACGTTAAATTCATAGTCACGGATTTAAGAAAAGAATGTCAGAAAAGTCGAAAGCGGTCAATGTTAATGCAACGCATTAAATAAAAAAGAAATAAATGCATTGCTTACCTGCATAGAACAAACTCACAATAACGACAGGATAAAACGTGTGTAACCAATTCGACATTTCCGATTTGTTTTAATTCACAACTAATCACTTCGAATGCAGCGCACGTTTTCGGTTTTGCCCGGCGCGTTTGTTGTGATGCGTGCTCAATCCGCCGGCCCGTAGAAAGAAGTAAAAGCGTTTGAGAAGCACTTTTGTTATTAACAATTGCGCGCAGGTTCGAACGGTTGGACGAGCACGCTCGGACTGCTTTTTCGCTAAAACGTGGAGCGGTATCCGTCTGCAAGTAATGTGTTCTCGCCACTGCGCTTTATACCTACGCATTCGCCAACGACCGCAAACTTAAACTGTGCTTAGACTATCGCACCCGACGGTATAACAATGACAAGACATTCGGTTTACGGTGGCTTTAAACTTTTGGATTTTGAACGCGGCGCTGAAAGGTAGGGCAGGTACTGCCATAAATTGGGTATATCGTTAGTTAAACCAGGTTTGAATTGGTTTTACCACGTTTTACTACATGACCGCAACCGCATAAGACTAATAAAAGACAGTAGTTAATTTAGTATTTAGAACACACGAGTTAATTTAGATCCAAATAAGCTAGATCTAGAATAAAACAACGTATAAAATTTCTGTACATCACCCAGTATAAGGACATCGTTTAAAAGTCCATCTTTTATAATTTTAAACTAATTTAAATCCAATATAGAATCTAGGTGTCACGCGGTGTCAGTCATTAAAACTTTATTACTGACAATATTAAAACACTACTTCAAAGTTTATTAACTCGTATTTACTCCGTTGGTGTTTAAATATGTATCAAAATAGTTTGTAAGAGTTACTAAGCAAGTGAATTGATTTAATCTATAACCACAAACAAACAAATTTTATGTTAACATAATAAAAAATCAATAAAAGCAATAAACGGACAAACAAATTAATAATTAAACCGCCTTAAATGATTCCAAATAGACCAAAGTTTGGAACAATGTTCGATTAGTTCACATCGTTATAACCGTCGCGGTTTCCGAGCGCAATTTGAGACATGCCGAGATCGTTTACTCAATTTCCAGCACGAAACGATAAAATTGATGCGGGTATTGCGCAAGTTATCGTCTTATATAACAAATTGCTCTTCATAAATATGCGGATTGACACGATAATGCGACCAAAATAATCAGACATATACGCAGAAACAATAACAACGTAATTTGATTGTATTTACACAGTAGTTGGTATGTCACATCGTATAAAACTTACATTTCATTTGGAATATGTTACAACTCCAGCGGGATTCCTCACATCTGATGAATAACTAAAGTTTTAGATCAAGTCATTTCATATTGAATCAAATTTGAATGCATTGATCTGTTCGAAAGCGATAATTAAATTATTACGTAGACGCTGTCATTGATGGAGTTGTTGATGGAGTGCCCGTTGGAGAAAAAGCTATGTCGTAAATTTGAGGATAGTCACTTACAAAGTGCACGTCAATACCTTCGACGATAAATTGTGGTAGATCGTTGTAGTCCTTTTTGTTTTGTTCAGGCAGTATGATGCACTTGATTCCGGAACGTTTCGCCTGCATATAATGAGTCATCATAAAATTTCGGATGTTAATTCTTTGATAGTAATCAAAATACGCTTACCGCAATTATTTTCTCTTTAATACCGCCAACTGGAAGCACTTTTCCAGTTAAAGAAATTTCACCGGTCATTGCAACGTCCTGTCTTACTGGCCTGCCAAGTGCTAACGAAATTAACGCGGTTGCGATTGTTGCGCCCGCACTGGGTCCATCTTTCGGTGTAGCTCCTTCAGGAACATGGAGATGTAAGTGGCTAAACAAGCAACAAACAAAATTTACGAGATTGTCATTTTATACGCGGATATTTCTACCTGGTGTGTAAAAATTTGTTATTTTCGTCACGCACATCTAAGAAATTCCGTGCCACAGTCAATGCTATCTTAGCGGACTCTTTCATAACATTACCAAGATGACCTGTAAGCTCTAGACTACCATCACTATCTTTTTCTATATTTGAACGTCTGGTAGTAGTCTCAATAAAAAGTGTAGAACCGCCCATCGCAGTCCACGCCAAGCCCATTACAACTCCCGGTGGTGTGTCCAGATACATTCTGTCCTGTGTAAACAGCGGTTTACCAACAAATGTTTGTAAATTAGTTGGTGTAACATCAACAAAATGCGTGCCGTCTTTTACAACTTTATAGGCCACTTTACGCACAACTTTTTCTATCTGTTTTTGCAAGTTGCGCACGCCAGATTCGCGGCAGTACTGCTTAATGAGCACTTTTAGACTGTCATCTTGTATTTTAATATTGCTATCTTTTAAACCGCTGTCTTTCATAGCTTGCGGAATGAGATATTGTTTAGAGATAGCTAATTTTTCTTCAGCTACATAACCAGACATGTCAATCATCTCCATTCGATCACGTAGCGGCTCTGGGATTGTATCTATCACATTCGCAGTACAAATGAAGAGAATTTTCGATAAGTCAACAGGTACATCGAGATAATGATCCAAAAAGTTGGAATTTTGTTCCGGATCTAAGAGTTCTAATAAAGCCGAGCTTGGATCTCCAGTGAATCCCCTAAATTTCAAGTCGTTAATATTTTGTTTGTAGGAATTAAACATACACTTACTTTCCCACTTTGTCTACTTCGTCAATTAAAACCAACGGATTTTCTGTTTTTGTCTTTTTAAGGCATTGAATCACCTTGCCAGGCATTGCACCAACGTAAGTTCTTCTGTGGCCCTTAATCTCAGCGACATCGGTCATACCACCGACAGAGAATCGGAAATATTCGCGATTCAACGCTCTGGCAATCGAGCGTGCTACAGCAATTAATAAGTAACAATATAAAACAATTTATAAAAATGATTTATATTACCTATGCTGGTCTTTCCAACGCCGGGCGGTCCATGGAAACATAGAATTTTACCCTGAGTTGAGCCTTTGAGTTGACTCACCGCGATGAATTCCAGAATTCGGCGTTTAATATCATCCATACCGTAATGATCTTCTTCGAGAATAGCTGAAGCACGATCCAAATCTAAATTTTCAGTGCTCTGGATTCCCCATGGGAGCGAAGTCAACCAGTCAAGATAATTCCTCGTTACACTAAACACACATAGAAAAAAAAACATAAATCAAACCGGTATTTTTACTATAAAAATAACACTTACTTAAATTCAGAACTATGACTCTCTAAAAAGTTTAATTTTGACAGTTCTTCGTCAATTACAGTAGATACAGCCTTTGGCAAGACTTTCGCCTTGATTCTTTCCTTAAACTTTTCCCCAATTGCATCTTTATCTTCCTTTTCCAAACCCAGTTCCTTCTTTATGACCTAGATAAATACAATAAAATCACTGATATGTTTGTAATGTAATTATTTATAGTTATACCTTCAATTGTTCCATTAATATGTACTTTCTGTGATGTTGCTTGACCTTTTCTTCGACCTCACGTCCAATCTTCTGTTGCAACTTGGATAATTCATACTCTTTTTTCAATAGAGATAATGAAAGCATCAACCGTTTCGGAATCTAGATTTTTGCATTATTAATATTACAAAATCAGAAAAATTATATTGTAACTCACATCAATTTCCTCCAAAACTTCCTGCAATTCCTTAGCTTCGGCTGCGGTTAAAGCCGCACCTAGGTCACTCAAATAAACTGGATTATCGACGACCCGTTGACCCTGATGCATCATCTGCTGCAGGCTGTCGCGATACAATGGATTGAGGCTAATAATATCACGAATCGTTTTAATAACCTCCTGTGTCAATGCTTTTACTTCTTCTGTCTGCCTAAACTTATTATGCACAACATTTTCAACCTCAACCATTAAAAGTGGCTCTTTGGGTGGCGTTGAAATGCCGGCAGTAGTCGCTGGAGCAGGTTTTACTTCGGGCGTTTTCTTCAGTCTGTTATTATTATTGCGACCTTTACGCTTTCTCGTATCGTCATCTAGAACGTTCATAGATGTTTTAAAAAGTGGAAATTGTAGATTCATTTCTAGCAATAAATATAAACAAGTTTTGAAATTTGGAGAAGATCAAAATTTGTATATTTCTTACTTACCTTTGGGCATTGCCTCATCAGGATTATCTAGAATTTGGCCTGTAATTTTGATTCTTCTGTGTGCCATTACAACCAAGCGTAATTTATCTCCTAAATCTTGCATCTCATGAATTTGTGCAAATATTCCAACATTATACACTTCATTGATATCTTTCACTACCTCTGCATCATTATCCTCACTTTTCTTCAGAAAGATACCACAGTATGGCTGATTAAGCTTTACTTTTCTTCTGATCAGTTCCATCAATGCTGGATTGGTTACCTATAAGTAATCATTGACATTAAGTTAACCATAAATAAATAAAAAATAATGTATACCTCAATGAGTTTGATGAATCTGGGGAAGACAATGTTTCTACTGATTGCAATGACTGGTACATGGGGCCAAACCTCAGGCACTGCAACAGTTGCTGGTAACTGAGGTGTGAATGTCTCATTGGAATTGCCTTTATCGCCATCATCGGTGGTTTTTGCCGAAAAGTATCTTGCAGCAACGAAAGCAGTCTTATTCAGTTGATGTTCGATGAATCGTGCTGGCCGTAAAGTCGATAAATTCAAGCACTCAGCGGTAGCGTGCGAGCTGCGAAATATAATGCAATTTTCTAGAATGTGTGGTTAGTATCACATTGCGACCAGTTAAACAGCGAGAATTTCGAATCGACAGGCCAGAAATACGCGTTATTAATGCTGGACTCTTTACCAACGACGTGAGATACATTTTTCGAGCATTCGAATGAAGAAATGATAGTAAATTTTCAAACTTAATCGGAACTTGACAACTCGCGACGGTTTACAAAATGACACAACTCCGACGAACACCGACAAACATCACAACAGTGAAACAAATGCTGGCACACGACAGTTCACCGCGAGACGTTTCGCCGCGGTAGGTTTCGCCGCCGAACATTTGAATTGATGTTCAAAGGTTTTATTAATATGATATCATTCAACAACGATAACTTTTGGAGGTCAAAGGGATTCCTTTGATTGATGTGTATTAATATTCACCTTCTCCTTACATTATTTGATTATTATTTTAAAACCACAACGTTTTTATCGAAACTTTACGTCAAAACTCAATAAAATCAATATTTCAACAACTAACTTTATTAATATAGCCCCCTTAAGTAATGCAATAATATAAGTTATGAAAATAAATATATAGCGCTGCTATATAAATTGCCTCAATATAATCTGTAATATTTTCTTATTTATTGTTTCCTGTCAGCAGGACGAATGTAGTTTTCACCACCGTGTTTAATCCATTCTCTGTTAAACTCGTTCTCCAAAATCTCCGCACCTCTTCGTCTTGTCAGCCCAGTTTCAGTTAAGGATAATTCACACATTTGCATATCGTCCTTTCCGGCAACCAGCAGTACAGCCGCCTTTTCTGCATGTAGCTCCATTTGTCTAGCGACAAATTCTCCATCAAAATGGGCGTACCACCAGCCTTTCTTACCTTCCTGCTGGGCATCAGCTTGAATTGTAGCTGGGCGAGTGAATGGGATTTTAAAATAGCGCTGGCCATTCTCATTTGCAATCGTTTTCGTTGGTCCACGCGGCATTTTCTCGGCGGCTTCTAGGACTGATCGTGGGGCACGATCGTTTTCGTCCATGATGGACTTCTTGTTCTTCTTTGCTTTCCATGCATGGTACACTTTCAAACGGCGATGGAATTCGTGCCTGCATGCCTAAAACATGCACCCAAACAAATAAATTGTTGTTTTAGTAAAGACTTGAATAATTGTACCTCCAAAAGTTCAATATCACAGGAAGTGTTGATAGCGTCACGTAATTCCGAATATTTCCAACGGGATAAGTCGTACTTGGACTTGCTCAATTGGTTTTGTTGATTTCTCACAGCCTCACATCTATATCAACCAGACAGAAACAAAAATTAAAATAAAAATGTAATAAATTAATTAAAAAAAAAAAGGAAAAAAAGGATTCATTTGTGTATTGCGTGCTGTGATCATGCTTTCTTTTCTCTCATAGTGCGTAAAGATTAGTGGTTTTAGGTGCTAGGCGCGTGTTTGATTTTGGTAACAGTTGTTAGCAATTCGTTGTTAATGTTACAACATGTAAATAATATCGCGTTGCCACACAATACCTGACGAGCTTATGTATATTCCGGTTTGGATCCACGCTGCCGCTGTTTGGATAATAAGAAACATAACATTGAGAAACAAACACTGCCACCAGTTTGTTTTATACAGCTATGTACATCATTTGCATTCGTAGATATGAATAAAAAACGCCACAAAACACGTGAGGACATATCGCAATCATTTAAATTTGAATCTTTTTAAACTGTCTCGAATAATTATTGTCCTATTTTGTAAGCAGTGGTTTTGAACCTGACTTATACGAAAATAATCTGCAATTAATGTAGCTGCGTACTTGCGTGACAATGGAGGACTATCTTCCAAGTTCTCGTTGTTCTCTTGGGCCAATCGCAGCGCCAATTCGTGATCTTGACGTTCTTGTTCAAGTTGCTCCTGATATTGACGATCTTCTGATTCCTGCTGGGCTTGTAAAACCATGGCAGCCTTTCGGTCAAGGTCTTCCTATATAATATTAATAAACAATAAAATATTATGCAAATTATGATAATAATAAACTGTATTTACTTGTTTACGACGTTCATCTTCTTCCTTCTTTCGCTTTGCTTCCATTTCCTGTTTCTTCTTGCGGTTTTCTTCTTCCTCGCGTTGTTTACGCTGTTCTTCTTCTTTGCGTTTCTTCTCGCGTTCAATCTCTGCTTGAATCTTGCGTAAACGTTCTTGTTCTTCAGCGTTCTTTTGCTCTTGCACCTTCTTCTCCAAGGATGCCATTTGTTTGTTGACTTTGGCAATCAATTGGGCGTACATTGTATCAGCATAAGCAGCTGAATTAGGATCCTTTCGCATTTTCTCCATATTTGTCTTAATCTCAACCTTCAAAGCGCTGATCTCTTGTACACTGCTTTCCTTGTTTTTCAATTGTGCGGTGATTGACTCAAGTTGTTTTACACGAGCATCCAGGCCTCTCATGTTACGCAACGCTTTGATCCTTGGCTGGTGTTTCTTCTTTACCAAGTAGCCACGCACAGTTTTCTGAATAGTTACCAATGCATGTCGTCTATACAAAATTTTGTTCTTCACTGGAAACAACAAACATTTTTACACTTTATGGGATATAAAAGATTTGTTTATATTACGTTTAATGACCGTGAGCGCGGCAAATTGTGATTTGATCCAGCGTGATCTGACGAGCCACTTCTTCACTTTAGCAATGATGGATTTCAAATTTTCTGGATCACTACGCATTATTTTATCAAACTCTGAAAACTTTCCAGGCCGGAAGAACACGCGTGTGACACCAAACTTGTAGTCTTTCTCGTGTAGATTTAAACTGTGCAACATTGCCTAAAATAACAATAATAACAAATTAAAGTGTTTGAACAAGAAAAGAAAGTGTTAAACTTCAGAAACATTAAAATAACACGTGAAATTATTATTATTAAACAAGGTCAATGTCTAGTAACGTGCAAACAGGTGGTTAACTTACCTCGCAGAATGTTTTTGGTGGAAGTGCTTTCAATTCTTTTGGTAAAAAGCTTTCGTACATGGAGTACAATTCATTAAAAGGCGTTCTACTTGGGTAACCATGTTCCATCAGCTGCAGAACGCTCGTCATGCCGGAACATTTCAGCTGCATCAAACTCAACGGTCCATCGAACTGTTGATCAACCATTTTTGAATTTGGCTTGATGCAACGAATAAAATTGGTGCCCTAAAGCATCAATATACAATTAGATAATTTAAATATTTTGTACTTTAAACAACTTACATTGTTTCTTAGCTTTTCCATTAATTCAGCAAGTTGTGTTTTAAACTTGCTGCCTACACTAATGAAGCTCAGTTTTCCTTTCTGTGATTCAGCATTGGCAAACAGTGATTTAATAAACTTGTTGGAACTTTCTTGTACGATGCCTTCAAGTGAAGCGTGCAAAGCATCATTGTTTTATCAATGAAATGATTCTACAAAGTAATATTTTAAAGTAAAACTTAAGTAACAATAAACTAAACTAAGACTACTCACTGTCTGGTAACAGACAGCTCCAGCAAAATGCCTGATCACAAATCCTTCATCATCTCTAATATTCCTGTGGGCTTTCAATCGGGAAGACCGTGGCAAGGCCAACCGGAAATGATTAGGCCACTGCGCATGAACCTCGGAAGTAAAATGCGTGAAAACTGGCTTCGGCAGCTTGGATTCCTCATCCAAAAGATTGAAGATACCCTTATTTTTAGTTTCAATGATATCAATGCAGTCTTGGTTGTCAACGAACTTAATTTCAGGCACATTCAAACCCTCTCTTTTGTATAACTGCTGCTCAAACTTTAAGATGGTCTCATTGAAAAACTCTTGAAGCTTCTCATTGCAGTAATTAATGCAAAACTGCTCGAAGCTGTTCACCGTAAAGAATTCTGAAGCAGAAAGCGTCGAATACATTAGTTGCATGTTCTTCCTACTACACTACGCTTCTACTATAATTTAATTAATATAATTTGCGTGCTAACGCGTGCGACGTACCGAATCCAGCAATGTCCAACACGCCGACGTAGTAGCTGGATGCTTGGAACGGAATACTTTTGTTGATACGCAAAACAATATAGTCGAAAAGTTTGCTGTACAATGCTTTAGCCAGTGCGTCTCTTGCACTACGTGCTTCGTGAATTTTTAGTGGCACCCTGTAAAGAAATAAAGAAAAACAATTAGAAATTTATTTTCTTTAAATTTGAATTGTCTTACATGATGACAGTGCCTTTGAAACCACCACGAGCACTTTGCATCACCCTTGACACAAGCGCTTGCTTTAGTTCGCTAGAATCGATTCCCAGAAGTTTCGACGCCGTGTGTAACGATTTTTCGCTGTTGGCAGTAATGCTGCACCCACCTCGGGTGTCTTCAGGGTCATCTTCGAATTCTATGTTACCCAAATGCAGGACAGCTGCGACATTCGCGTAGATTTGGATACGCTCTTCATCTGTTAATCAATACGACCTAAAGCATCGTGAAGGCTTTGGAAGTCTTCGTAATCATTCAAAAGGGTGTCATTGAGGCATCCTTTAGTGGAGTGCAATTTACTCTTTTGATTTGCAGCTAGTTTCTTCTCAGTTGCCGAATTTGAAAAATATTGTGTGCAACCATTTCGTAGATACTACAATAAAAGTTAAAATCATTAAAATAATAGAATGTTTGGTTTTAAGTTGCATTAACTTACATTAAAGTCATCCGGTTGGGTAAGATTTAAAGACTGACGCAGAGATTCAGGAGCACCCGCCATCAATCGATAGAAAACATGGTAACTACGCTCCTCGGCACCAGGACTACAAATTCTGCTCTTCTCCAGCAAATAGTGCGAAATATGCCCTCCGACAACTTGGAAGTTCTTATCAAAATGCACCTCGATGAATTTACCAAAACGGGAACTGTTGTTGTTACGCGTAGTTTTGGCGTTACCAAACGCTTCTAACACTGGATTAGCATCCAGGATTTTTTGTTCAATTGGCCCGGCCTTAGATCCCCAACTTTCACACAAATAACGCAGCAGGTGTTTAGTCGAC